GGTGCCCTGGGAACCTTCGCACTGCTAGGCGCCCCTCCAAAGTTTTTACAAAAAAGCAGTCTTTCGCACCCCCATGCTGTGGACAGCCACTTAAATTTCCTAGCGTCAGATTGGCCAGGTCCAACTGGCCAAGGAGGAAAGGGGCATTGAGAACATTTTTAACCCTTTCTCGAGTGAGCTAACTTAGAAACCGTTTCACCCGGTAAGAATGACTGGATCTTATCCGGGTCGTTTATCTGGAAAGTCACACCAAGAACTGGAAAACCGAATTGTTCCGATCACTAAGCGGGCACTACGGCACAGTAATAATACGCGATTGTCCCTCCCAAGGTACTTTCCCTTTGGGAAGTAAGACGTTGCTTACTGAAGAATAAAAATCACGAGGGCATTCTCCTCGGGAAATACTCTGGTGTTTTGTGTCTCATGGTTTTTTACTTTAAAAAAGAAAGAAAACTTCAGCAACAACTATGAATGGAAAGAAAAGCACAAGTGCAAAGAGGACGAAGACAATGAGGAGCCAGTTCATCATTAGAACTCTTGATTGTCTTGGAGCAGTGAGAAGAAGGACTGCTTTCTCTGATCCTCTGCGACATTCTCAAATTGAGCAGTAAGCCTGTTCCAACCCACAACGCTGTCCTTGCCACACTTCTCTTACTCACCTCCCTACATCAGGGGTGTCTGTCATTCAAACTGATCAAAAGGTGCCCCACCCCCAAATAATCCCCAAGCCTCTGAACCTACATCCTCTACTTTTTCCAGAAGGCAGTTAAAGGGCTCCGTTCATAAATCTTTCCGAGCCAACTGCCCTGGGACAACACAGCATTCTGATATTTTAGAAGTCTCTCTCTTTTTAATGAATAAAGACTATGGGCAGTGTCAAGGAGCCCGGGTGCCCGAGTGGGTTAAGCATTGAACTGCTAGCTTCAAGGTCAGGGGTTCCAACCCACCAGCTGCTGCTCTGAGGAAGAAAGATGGAGTTTCTGCTCCTGCCAAAGTCTCAGGAACCCACAGGCACCTTTCTGCTCTGTCCCGTAGAATCCCTTGAGGCAGAACCCACTCGTGCAGTGGGTTTTACAGGCAGTGTCCGATTACCCAAGAAGCAAGGTAAGCATAGTCTTGTTGTTGTTAGGGGACATCAAGTCGGTTCCGACCCAGAGTGATCCCGTGGACAACAGAATGAAACACTGCCAGGGTCCTGTGCCATCCTCACCACTGCCCGTATGCTTGATCTTGCTGCGTGCCTTGTGCCAGTCCATCTCGTTGAGGGCCATCCTCTCTTGCACTGCCCCTCTGCTTGACCAAGTATGACGTCTTTCTCCAGGGACTGGTCCCTCCTGACCATGTGGCCAAAGGACTTGAGACAAAGTCTTGCCATCTTTGCCTCCAAGGAGCACTCTGCCCATGTTCCTTGGTCTGACTTGTGTTTATTTTATTAATCTGTAGTAAACAATTGGTCACTCTTTCACCACATCAAAGTTTCTGCTTCCAGATACATCAGCCATCTAGCTTTCTACTAACCTCACAGCCTTTTCCAACAGAATCGAGACCTGTTTGGTGGGTTAAGAGTTGGTCAACTGCTCCCTAAAGATTTCCAGTCACAGAAATCTCAAGGACAGTGCCACCCTGTCCTATAGGCTTGCTGTGTGTCAGCATTGGTTTGATGTTGGTGAGAGGGGGAAAGGAAATAAGCTAGATGATGGAGTGTGACGGTACAGGGGGTTCCTTGTTGGCCTGCTAACCACAAGGTCAGCATTTCAAATCCACCAGGAGCACCACAGGGTGAAAAGGATGAGGCATTCTTCTTCTGTGAAGATGTACAGCCTTGGAAACCCACAAGGGCAGTTTTACTCTGTCGTGAAGGGTCACTGTGAGTGGGAATCCACTCCGAAGCAGTGCATTTGGAGTTTGCGCGATGCCGGATTGACAGGTGGCTACAGCGAGGAGCTCAGGAATAACCCTGGTGAAGACGGAGCAGGGACCGGTGGTGTTTCTTTCTGTTGTCTACAGGGTCGCTCTGAGGGGGACCAACTGGAGGACACCGAACAACAACAAGGCCAGAATCAAACTTGATGGCAGTGGGCTCTGATGGGTTTAATGCTGAAAAAAATTGGTGGTTGGATCATCCAACGCTGAGACGGGACAAAGAGAGAAGTTGAAGGAATGGCACCATGTTTTTTATGTCTTGAATTAAATCAGATTTCAAACCAGAGCCGAGAATCATGTTTTCACACTTGCTGCACCTTAGCGTCATGTGAGGAGCTATGTTCCAGTGGCACTGAGTGCATGGAATCAGACTCTCTGGTGGTACCGCCCAAGCAC